ACACTCAAAGACACTTTACATTCATTCACTCCATACACGGTGGCTGAATGGATAGCACTCTCGCCTTTCAGTCGAAGGTCCTGGGTTCGAATCCCAGTCTGAGTGGAGTTTGCATGTTCTCCCGTGTCTGCGTAGGTTTCCTCCGGGTGCTCCGGTTTCCCGTACCACTAAAAACATGTGCAATAGGTATGAATGTAGATGAGAGAGTGAATGGATGGTGCTGATTGGGGCTGATGGTCCAGTGTGTTCGGCGACTCGCTTCCGTCATCACAGTGTGTGGAATGATTGGAATAATATCTGAACTCTGAACATTGTAAAGCGCTTTGGGTGACCTTGGTCTGTAAAATGCGCTATTCACGCACACCATGGCACCTGGTGTTCCCAGAGGTCAAGTGTCTTTCCAACGACACAACGACAGCAGACAGTGGGAATCGGTGGAGTAAGTCTTGTGGTGGGCTCGAACCCATGACCTTCTGGCTCAAAGGCCAATGCTCTACCAACTGAGCTGCCATGTAGCAATGGAGCCATTTTGGCGCCCCCTTGCGTTTGTTAAAAGGTGCCACTTCAAAGCCGTTTTTTAACATAATTCATCTGAACATGTCAAAATGAACACCCAAAATATTATAAACACATATTGTAGTTATATATTCTGGATAGCAGCATATTAAATTCTAGCACTACTTTAAGTTTAATCAGATTCCAAAATAATTGGTCCTAAATAATTGGTCCTAAAAGTGTGTAGCCACTGACATCGCGTCAAAACTGTGTATTTTCTGCGAACACACTACTGTATGAGTTCCCATTACTGGACCTCCCCCAGACGGCTCTTCTCTAAGCTCCTCCTTTGTGACTGAGCTCCTTCCCATCTTTAAAGGAATGCCCAGCCACTCTGTGGAGGAATCTCTTTTTTGGCAGCATGTAAGTGGGTCATGTGATATCTAGCAGAATTTACCACTTACACCACTAGTTAGAAGTGTTATGTTTTCTAGGCACCTCTTGAAGCATATTTTTTGGCATATATCCTTTTTTATAATTACCAAATCATGTTATTTTCTAAATTAATATATGACACCAGTAATATTCCTAAGATCCTGTTTAAAGGCCAACAGAAGAAAGTTATTCATGATCGTTTTTGACTACCACTGGAGATGCTATGGCAGCTCAAAAAGACCCCAAAGATACAGTGCCTTGCGAAAGTATTCGCCCCACTCGAACCTTTCAACATTTCGCCACATTTCAGGCTTCAAACATAAAGATATAAAATTTGAATTTTTTTGTCATGAATCAACAAGTGGGACACAATCGTGAAGTGGAACGAAATTTATTGGATAATTTAAACTTTTTTAACAAATAAAAAACTGAAAAGTGGGGCGTGCAATATAATTCGGCCCCTTTACTTTCAGTGCAGCAAACTCAGTCCAGAAGTTCAGTGAGGATCTTTGAATGATCCAATGTTGTCCTAAATGACTGATGATGATAAATAGAATGCACCTGTGTGTAATCAAGTCGCCGTATAAATGCACCTGCTCTTTGATAGTCTCAGGGTACTGTTTAAAAGCGCAGAGAGAACCATGAAGACAAAGGAACACACCAGGCAGGTACGAGATACTGTTGTGGAGAAGTTTAAAGCCGGATTTGGATACAAAAAGATTTCCCAAGCTTTAAACATCTCAAGGAGCACTGTGCAAGCAATTATATTGAAATGGAAGGAGTATCAGACCACTGCAAATCTACCAAGACCCGGCCGTCCCTCCAAACTTTCATCTCAAACAAGGAGAAGACCGATCAGAGATGCAGCCAAGAGGCCCATGATCACTCTGGATGAACTGCAGATAACTAAAGCTGAGGTGGGAGAGTCTGCCCATAGGACAACAATCAGTCATGCACTGCACAAATCTGGCCTTTATGGAAGAGCGGCAAGAAGAAAGCCATTTCTCAAAGATATCCATAAAAAGTCTCGTTTAAAGTTTGCCACAAGCCACCTGGGAGACACACCAAACATGTGGAAGAAGGTGCTCTGGTCAGATGAAACCAAAATCGAACTTTTTGGCCAAAATGTGTTTTAACTGTTGATTCTCTGACCTGTGTTGGTGATTTCAATGGTTTTGTTAAGTCCTCTGAGATTACTTCTGTTGTGACCTAGGGCTATACAAGAATAAATTGTATTGTATTGTGTATTGTACAATACAAAACGGTATGTTTGGCGTAAAAGCAACACAGCTCATCACCCTGAACACACCATCCCCACTGTCAAACATGTTGGTGGCAGCATCATGGTTTGGGCCTGCTTTTCTTCAGCAGGGACAGGGAAGATGGCTAAAATTGATGGGAAGATGGATGGAGCCAAATACAGGACCATTCTGGAAGAAAACCTGTTGGAGTCTGCAAAAGACCTGAGACTGGGACGGAGATTTATCTTCCAACAGGACAATGATCCAAAACATAAAGCCAAATCTACAATGGAATGGTTCACAAATAGACGTATCCAGGTGTTAGAATGGCCAAGTCAAAGTCCAGACCTGAATCCAATCGAGAATCTGTGGAAAAAGCTGAAGACTGCTGTTCACAAACGCTCTCCATCCAACCTCACTGAGCTCGAGCTGTTTTGCAAGGAAGAATGGGCAAGAATTCCAGTCTCTCGATGTGCAAAACTGATAGAGACATACCCCAAGCGACTTGCAGTTTTTTATTTGTTAAAAAAGTTTAAATTATCCAATAAGTTTTGTTCCGCTTCACAATTGTGTCCCACTTGTTGTTGATTCTTGACAAAAAATTACATTTTTATATTGTTATGTTGGAAGCCTGAAATGTTGAAAGGTTCAAGGGGGCCGAATACTTTCGCAAGGCACTGTAAGGGTGCATTTGGACACAAACAAGGATAAATCGTATGGATCCGTGGGTAGGAGAGATCTGGGGAGAGCGGGAGGAGCCTAGGGCGGCGAACGCTGTAATTGCAAAGTTTAAAGCCAATATTGAAGTTTGCCTTGTTTACTTGCATTCTTTCAGAGGGGAAACCAAAATAATTATTCAGACTAGACCAGGCTAAAAAGAGCAGACGAATCATGGTCTGTAATAACGGACAATAACAGGTTCTCTGATTGGATCAGCTCACCCATTTCTGTCCAGTTTTTCAAATAAAGCAGCTTGGACCATTGTTTTCTCTATCCTTGATATAACTTAAAGGTATTTATTCTACCAATTGATTGAAATGTAGTGTGTATGAAAATAATTGGTTATTTCTCTGTCAATCATTTGTGCTCAGCTCCAATCACGTGCTAGCACACGACCAGCCGCACATGCTAAAGGGTTCGCTGAGTCCAGATAGCGGCTTACAGCAGCAAAAAATATGTGAAAGACAGCACTAGCATAACAATACGATTGTAAAGAAAATATTTTCACCTGAGAAAGTACCCACTAATTTAGGGGAAATACTTCAAATTAAAAAAATGTAGAAAAAGGCCCTGAACATGATGCAATACCATAGAGATGTAGTGAGACAGGAGCACTGGTGTTTGTGCCAGAAGTTCCCTAGAACCATAACATGATTAGACGTTTTTTGTACACCAACAATTGTAGAATTAGACACTGACAATAATAGCGGCTAAAAACTATAATAGTTATGATAGGAATTTGTCTTTTTTTGTTCATTTGTTCGTCAACACGACCACAAAAGAGCTGCAGCTGCTGCTGTCCCTGTATATAGTCTATGGAGAGGTGTAAAGGATAGTACCGGCCAGGACTGTTAGCAGCAGCATTTGTCAGGTGTATGTGTTTATCTTCATGGTGGTTGCAAAAAGTCGTACGGATCATATTGGACTGACAAGTGCCTGGCGAGCCAGTTTCATCCTCCACGCCCTTTATGTATGGGCTGCGGCTGAAGCAGTCACATCACGTCTCCAAACGCAACTGCTGCTCAACGTGTTGATCCTCAGTTGAAAAAACAGAAAGTGCTGAGCGTCTCTGATGCATAATATGACACTAAGCAAATACAGTATGTGTGATATTTACAATATGAGCCACACAACACAAGAACATACTACATTGTGTGGCAGATGTACAGGATGTGTACATAGTACCATCAACAATACTTCAAAACTGATCATTTAAGCATTTGTTTCCTGCCAATTAAAGATGAATAAAGGAAACATGAGGATTAATCAGATCTGTATCATGAAACAAATCTGAAGTATCAACTAATACTGTTTTTTGACACTTTTGAAAACATTTAGTAAATAACTAGGGAAACTAACTATAAAAAAGTCAGAAGCGGTGAAAAGGCGATGTTACATGTTATACCCCCGCAACTTTCTATGGCTTCCTATGACGCTACCTTAATGTGAGTAGCCATGTATCATCTCAATTTGTATTTGTACACTTATTAAACCCCAAATTAAACAAAAATCTGAATAAAGACCCGGATGATTTGCTAATGAGGATAATATATAATAGTTCTTATATATTTCTTCCTTAGTTTACATTAGTTCTGTTACATGGCATTAAAATAATACAGTAATTGAACCATCAGCCCTCACAATTGTCCTGGATGCCCTGTAAAAAGTATTCTGTGAAAGATACACTGCTTGCTTATAATCTACTTGCTTCATTTCCTTTTCTCCACACTCTCCCAGCCTCCCCGCAGACTTTTCTGTCTACAAACCAAAATCCCGCCTGAATCTCTAGCCTGAATAACTCCATCCCCCCATTCACGCATCATTTAAAAACCTGTTCATAATTCATGCTTCTTTTCTGTTAGCTTACACACACTGCGTTATAGCCCTTAACTTGATCAAACAATTGCATTCACCCCCACAACCTCACACCAAATATACCTTCAAAATTAACTTCCTGGCACAGTAGCTGGAATAGAGTTAAGGCGAGGGCGGGCAGCCTTGAAGTTCGCCTGTGTACAGAATTCCTAGGCAGGTGGTGGAAAGAATCAATATTTCAACGCTGAGCACAGTTTTAAATCTATAATACATGCCTCTATCTGTTTCTATCAGGGAGGTGCGGGAGTTCGCCAATGGGTCTGTGTGCCTGGAGTGCGACGGCCAGTGTGACAAGATGGACGGCGATACCATGACGTGCCTTGGACAGGTAACACAACGGGCAAACATTTCTATTCTTCTGGTATCTTTGAGCAAGGACAATTTACAAGGGTTACGGTATATACAGCTAGGAGCATGTTTGAGAGATTTCTCTTCTTCTCTTCTTTCTTTCTTATGTGAACAAACAACATTTTTTTGTTTATTTGACCTTGTAGTGGGTTGTATGAGTTGGTAGCATGGTGCATTTATTTCCAAGTACCTTTAATATTTTTTCACATCAAAAGTTGAATAATTCTCTTTTAAGGAGTTTTATTCACTAATTCAATTACTGTCCATTCTGTCAAAAGTGATATGGCCAAAACATTTTTATTTTTATATTCACTACTTAAAAACGTTGGAGTTTAGAACAGCTTGAGGTACATACATAAACAAGGTGAGAGGAAGGCTGGGGTGTTGGATGTTGCAATTCAATGAGAGAGAGAGGAGAGGGTCTGAAGGTAAAGGTTACAGTAGTGAGAGTAAGTAAGTAATGTTTATTTATATACCGCCTTTCACAGACCAGAGTCACAAAGCGGTTTACAATTGTTATTATTTTTGGGCACTTGTCCTCTCACTCCACAGAGATGGGAGCAGGGTCGCCGAACAGGAGGCACATGTCAGACCTATTGTACATATTTTTAGTGGTAGGGGAAACCGGAGTACCCGGAGGAAACCTACGCAGACACGGGGAGAACATGCAAACTCCACTCAGAAAGGCCCTGGTCCGGGATTCGAACCCAGGACCTTCTTGCTGAGAGGCGAGAGTGCTATCCACTCAGCCACCGTGCCGCCCAGAGAGAGAGAGGAAAGGGTCTGAAGGAAAAGGTGACAGTGAGAGAGGAGAGGGTCTGAAGGAAAAGGATCTGGAGAGGGTTACCCCCAAGTTGAAGGAGTGATTTCAGCACATTCCTAGAAAAACCTTGGACCTAAAAAAGGAGAAACCTATTGCTGACAAACAGGATATGTATACATGTACCAAAGCCCTCATTTGTCACTATCTCTTCAAACTCTCGAACCCCAGTGTCATTTTCTGTCTATGTTCTCTACAAAACCCAAGACCTTCTCTTTTGAATAATGATCCAAAAGTAAAGATTAAGTTGTGAAAAAGGGGTTGAAAGCAAAAGAGAGGATCAGAAAGTAAAAAAAAACAAATATCATCCTCCATGTTTGCAAAGGTGAAGCACTAGGTTAATGGGGGGATGATAAACCACTGTTGCTGCTTCTTGAGGTGCAGTTTTTTGGCTCGCACGCCCCAAACGCGTGTCCAGATTAGTTTTTGACCTTCCACAAAGTCATATTAGTCTTTTGCAGATTCAGATTGGATTGATGGAATTTCCTTTAGAAATACATTTGGAGACAGTGACTCCAGATAGAGCAGAGAGAAAAAGCATGATAAACCCAGTTCCACCGGCAATGGAATCAGATCTGGATTTATATAATCTTAGAAAGTCCTTCATGAAATCAAAGCAGAAATGTAGAGGGTTAGCAAATGTGGCTCAATCAAGGATATTATGTAAATTGTTTGTAAAATGTATACAAATGTAATAACTATAAAAAAATTACACAATAGTAAGTTTTCGTAACCCAGACATTGCTTTCTTGTTTACCGTGTAAAGGTGGACAGAGCTAGCAGATGTCCGCGCTGTTAATGTTTTTTTTTTTTTTTGGTCTCTGTCGAAAAGCTAAAGTTATTTTTTATTATCACCACAGGGAAATTTGTCCTCAGCATTTAACCCATCCTTCATTGCCTCTATCAGGAGCGGTGGTCTTCCGGGGGCCCATCATGTAGCACCCATCCAGTTGACTTCACCATCTTAACTGTATTTGTTCATGGATCTGTTTATTTATTTATTGCTTGTTTTTGTTTTGTTTTTTCCCACTTCCAGCAAGCTAAAATAGAAAACTGACCTATAACCAACCAACTGAAGGAAAATGTGTATTGTCCCAATAAAAAGCCAATTCATGCATATTTAGTGTTAACTTATGTGTTAACCATTCCAGCCTGAATGCGATGTGTCTTAGCGGTTAGCATTCTAAAAGTTGCGTGGTCACACTTCAACAGTAAATATCATTGGAGTCAATCAGCCGGAGTCTATACACAGGCAGAGAGGAGGACGCAGACACATGCCAGCAGCACTTCTGACACAATCACGCTCATGTTTATTGATGTAGGGGAGGCTTAGACGGCGGGACAAAAAAAGGAGAGATGGAGCTGTCTATCTAAGCTCTGCAATACAACACACAAGCTAAAGTGTAAAATGCAAAAAGAAACATGGTTCAACTCACACGAGGCAATGTAAAAATGAATTACGCAGTCAGAAGGAAGTATTCAGGGTGCAAAAGAGCAGTACTTTAAACTACTGTAATAGCAACAGGTTAAAATAAAACTTGAATCCTTATACATTTCAGATATCTGCCGCACTACAAGAACACACACTGCAATAACACATCTGCCGCACTGCAAAAACACGCTTGATTTAAGTTACTCATACTTATATTGTCTACAACTGCTCATAAAAGTATTTGGGCCTGTACTGTGATGATCCATAACAAGGTAACTGAAAAAGTTTACTGAGAAGTCATAACTAAAAAGTATACAAACAAGTACATGTATATATTCTAAAATGTAGTAGAGTAGAATGAAGGACATTTTTTCTTGCTAAACCCCTCTCCACTCTGCTGTATGTCTGCAGGAAACACAATAAAATAGAATTAATATGAATATAATATAATATAATGTTGAGAATAAAATAATGATTATTGAATCAAGAAATAAAATTAATACAATTTAGATCCAGACGTTCAGTTTGCGGTTCTGAACATAGTCAAAAGCAGTGAAAATGTTGCATGTGATGTATCGTTTAATAGGTTTGTTTTGTAATTTTTTGCCTGTTAAAGTCTTTGTAAATTAGAAATAAGTACGGATGGCTGAAGCCTACAGAAGAGAAACTATCCAATGGGAGACGTGTCCTATCCCCAGTCCATCCACTGTTCCTCCACGCTGCTGTTTTACTCCCAGCACCACCACCACCAGCCCGTCTTCTCATCACATTCCACATGGTGATTTTTGACACAAGCCAATCCCGTACGGGTTTCGCCAATTTTGCACACGCAGCGGCGGCATACACTCCGGCCAATTTGTGCGGACGTGTAATAAATGTGTGAATGGATTCATGCGGGCCCCGTCGGTTACATTAGCCGCAGCGGGAAGTGGGCAAATTGACGGAATCGCCAGGTTTGAATCCAATCCGGACAATTCGCTACCGCCGCCAAGTTTTCAGCGATCCATTCTCATATCTCACACTGAGACTGGATAGGCTTTAGTGAAGATGTATGTTTTTTTATTCACAGTTGCCTTCTTTTGGCCCTGAGTTTCAAATAAATGCAATTCTCTGCTTCATTGTGCCTTTTCAAAGCAAAGTGTTAGAAATAGTGTGAGCATTTTGCTGACTTCTCTTTTTTGGGACAAGAAAAGAAATTGATGAAAGGTAAAGGTCACAGTGGTGCCCGTGGTGATGGGTGCACTCGGGCTGAGCTTCCGAAGCTGGAGGAGTGGTTGCAGAAGAGTGAAAGAGAGTTTATATGAAATTAGCTTTTTATTCAATACACCAACGTTAAAAAAAGTCAATCTTTTAGCACCAAAGAAGGGAAAAGATGCCAAATGTACCATATGTACTGTATCCTAATGCAGTTAGACATCATATCCTAAATACACAGGGTACTTTTTGTATACATAATAAATCAATATTTGTTTTCTGTATGATTATATGATTCATATTTGGTTTAGGCATTATAAGATCTTGTTTAAAATAAATGATAGCTACATTTGTGAGTCTATGGTAGTGTGTGAGGTGTATTGTATCATTTATTTTGTTTGGTTCGAGGCTAACACTCTCCATCTATTCTTTTATAAAACAGTACACAAGCCCTAACAATACCAGCGTTCTGCTTGCAAAGGCTGGAGAGGATCGCTCTTAAGTATGACTGCATTATTCCCTATTATCGTTGTATCTCGTCCCCTTAGGGCCCAGACCAGTGCGTCAAATGCCTGCACTTCAAAGACGGACCCAACTGTGTGGAGAAGTGTCCTGACGGCGTACAGGGCGCCCACGGCTTCATCTTCAAATATGCCAAGGCCAACAACGAGTGTCACCCATGCCACGCCAACTGCACCCAAGGGTGAGTCCCTACACTGCCATGGTCCTTTTTACTCTCTCTAATAGGATAAAACTGCAGCCACAGCCGCCCTGAAACAGACTTGACAGACTGTAAATATGTTCCTTAAAGCAGAAGAAATGTTCCTATCTATCAGAAATACCACTGTCAGGAAACTGAAATCACACATTTCTACAAAGATAAGAAAATATTATACAATAACCCATGAACAAGTTAAACAATTGGAAGCATCATCACAAGAATGAAAAACCTTGTATTAACTCAAAGCCGTTTTAGAAGCAAAAGTAGTAATCTAGTAGTATATTGATCATTACGTTCAAAAAGGATCACATTTTAACTTTACATGAGTGGAAATAAAACCACGCTCTAGAAAAACCTTGGTGGAAATGTCACAATCTGTGTTAGCGTTGTGTGAGTCTTACTGCTATAAGTGCTGCAGTAAAGGGGATGAAGGGGGAAGCGTCTGGGGAGGGGAACGCACTCGGTCAGGGCTGCAAGCGGTTGACCCGAAAAGGCAGCGGAAAAGATGATCTGTGCTGCGTGGGGCTGGTGCTGAGCCCGATAAAGGTGCCGCAGGAGTGCTTTAAAGAGGGGTCTGTCAGGGCAAAGAGGATTCTGTGTTACAGGAGCAAAGGGCAAATGAGTATCGGTACAAGGGAGAGATAGAACAGTGCTTATGGACATGGCATGGGACAAGATAAATGGAGGAAAGAAAGAAAAAGGTAATTGAATTTAAAAATACCTTGTCGGCTTATATCAACCAATATCCTCCAGGTCCTGTTTGTTCATGTTGTACAAATGTAAAGAGTACATACATTTGATTAATGTATGTGATATGGTGAATAAATAAATAAATACAATTATAATAATAGAATATTATTTGGAAACCTTTACTTTTCAGTTAGAGAAGTGAAAATACAGAACTCAGTGACTCACAGGGCACTACTATTACAACAAATACTACTACTACTACCATTGACGGTGGTAATAAACTACTACAGTACACATGAGACTCATGCTGGGCAATCAGGGTGAAGTGTCTTACCTACAACGTCAGTTTGGCTCTTTACCGCCACTGGAGGTCTCCCATCACAGTACTAACCACTGATAGGACTGTGGTGATCATCCAGGACACTCAGCTTTCTACAACATGTACTGTATGGACATTTATCAACACTTATGGACATTGGTTAACTCCCCCTATGGACCAATACCTATGTGTGCTCTATTCTTTTGTTTGAACTGTTTGATTCTCTGATCTGTGTTGGTGAATTCAACGGTTTTGTTAAGTCCTTTCAGATAACCACTGTTATTTTTTAGGGCTATACAAGCATAAACCTAACCTAGGCCCTGCCTTGATCTGGCTTTTACATGCAGGTGGTTGTTTAGGCAAACGCAATTTAGTATTTTTAGATGAAATATTAGAAAGGCCATCTCACACATTTGAACAAGAACGTGACTCAACTTGGCCCAAACTTGTTGTTTGCTGACCAGTTTGAAAGATTACTAGATTCTCTGAGAAATAACGCAAAGCAAATGGCAATACAGACATTTTGGCCCCCCCTTCATATTTGAATCTATTTTGTTTGTATCCAGATCAGATTTCTCCCTTTTTTTCCACCTTTTGCTAAACAGGCAGTGATTAGCGCTGGGCTGTTCATTAATTCTGCCTCCCGAGTGAGGGACAGCGGGACGGACTCCAGAGGACACTTTTTGATTGCTTTGCCGTGTTTGTTAGCGCGCGACACAAGACACAACAAATTACCTGGCAAATGAGGAGCAAGAGCTTGCTTTGGAATTAAATCTGAGGCCTCATTGTCAATGCGGTAAGGCGCTAATTAGCAAACATTCGGTTTGCGTTCAGCTTGAGCACAATGGTTAGACAAGGATTTGAGAGAAGGTTTCAAGGCACAGGTGGAGTCTCTACTGGATAAAAGTGTTGGCAAGTAACATAAGTGGACATAATTGTTATGTCAGTGGATTACATGAATAATGCAATCTTTTGAGTTATTATGTTATGTTATGTTACTGATAATGAAACTGCTACTTCTATTGTTACATCCATAAAAAACAGCAGTACTACTACTGTTTTTACTACTACTACTGCAAGAATTCAGCTTACAGGCAAGGTTAGCAGTCTCCCCTTCCACTAAACAGAGTCAAGCCTCAACAACTGGAGATGGCTCCCTAGGCGCTGTACTACAGGGCAAAGGATACATGGATACATAAAGTGTACATTTACATCACTACAAATACTTACTCCTACTACTAGTATGAATACTACTTTTGCAACACAATTACAATTACCGCCATGACCGCTGCTATCATCTTCATTACTACTACTACTTGTATACTGTGGTACTACTGTTACCACTACTGTTGTTACCTCAACTACTACTACTAGTAACTGCTCTTAACGCCGCCATTTCATAATAACGTGCATATAAAGTTTTATACACACTCTCATAACACTGTATGTACTTTCCAACTGCGGTACTGGAAACCACAACTTTCTTGCCTCAGCCTGTGCAAAATGTTTTATTTAAGAAGCATCTACTTTAATTGGCTTCCATGTCAGGACGTCTACCTCCAGCTTTGTTACGGTCCTGGCCTCTGACCCCACCATTCTTGTGCGCGCAAACATAGCCCCTGGCGCGACAAGCTGTACTGAAATAGACAAAATATAGCATGACACGGTACAACACCGACCAGCAACGCATGGCCTTGGATAGCACTTTAGTCTGCTGTATATGAGGCCAGCAATGGTGGTAGTATTTGTGGAAAAACCGTTTTGGCCACAACATGATGCAACAACTAGAAATAGCCGCTAAACATGGCAGATAAGCTGGGCCCAGAAGTTTTCAAATGCCACGATTTGTAGCTGAAAAAGACAGGCTGCAAACTTGTCAAAAGTGATTTCAAACTGACGCAGACGCTCGTATTAAAATTTGAAGGAAGTAGTACTAAAACACGCTCTGCAATAAATGTGTCGAGCTTTGGTTTTTATCATTTCCATTCATAGAGCGTTCTAACCAAAGCTAATGCAATAAGTTAAAGAGCAAGTCTCTGTCCGTAATTGGCTCTTCCACACTTTTAAGAGGGTCAGATTGTGACTTACTGATCAAAAACAAAGTAGGAGGTTTGCAAACATTAATTCATACGTACACGAGTTATCTTGCTTGTGTGTTTGCCTTCTCTAGAACTCATAATGCTCTGTGTGACCTGTTCATGGTTGATCTACATACCGTGCTAAAGAATGATTAAGGCATTATCTTAAAATAAAGTGGAAGTCAATGAGGGACCGTAGTTCTCCAAATATTTGAGAATTTGTTTTCTTGCCACAGTTCAAAACACAAGTAAAGAAGAAAAAAAAATTGTATTCTAGTTAAAATTGCTTATTGTAGTAAATAATGCTGCTCAGAAATGAAAGCTCACCTTCAATACTGTGTTAATTTATAGAAAATTATAGATAAAATGAAAAGTCATGTTTTGATTTGTTCTGTTTCATTTTTCTGCAGATGTGTGGGGCCAAGACTTAAAGACTGTGTAGGATTGATGGACAGGTAAGGTTTCAATCATCTTATTGATATATAGTACTGTATTTTGAATGCAATAGTTGTCACAAGGTGGAAATGAGGAGGACTCAAAAAGCAGGAATGCAAAACATAATGATTTAATAAAATAAAAGTCCAGTTGAAAACTAAATTCAAAATACGGAACCAGGATTTGACAAGATAAAACAGGACGTTGACAATACAATGGACCAGCCACAAGGGGAGAGGGGCACAGGGTAGGCATAGGCCCTGTCCCAATACTCTCACTTCCACCCTTGCGCCCCTCATTTGCGTGTTCCTGATGATGGCTGCGAGTGCGTAGGGTGTCCCAATTCTCCAGGGAGGTCTTTCGCCCCGCCCCCTTTGCACCTCTGATCCACACTTCTCTGTAGTCTGCATCGAAGCGGACTCTGGCAAAGGATATTGCAGCTATCTCAAATTACAAAAAACCAATATACATTTATTTTAACGTGTGTGGAGCAACTTCTGTTTCCCACAGGGTCAAACAAAATTACCTTTAATTTTGACAAAGTTTAGGTCTGAAAATGACCATCTCTTGACGAGTCGATGACGCTGCACTCCCAATTCCACCTTGTTTGCACGCTTGTAACCTCCGCACTCAAACCCTTGCATGCACTTCAAACAAATGCACACTTCGTAGAGGAGTGTAGGGTGCAGTCTGGGTATTGGGACTGGACAGAGAGACACAGGTGAATCATATCAGGGCGGGGCAGACAATCAAGACAGGGGAACAAGACAGGAAGTAAAACTAAAACCAAAGCACAGAGAACTGATATCAAAATAAAACCAAAGTACAAAAATAAAATCCACACAATGACAATAGTTGTGATAACAGAATCGCCGGTTAAAGTATTAGACTTGAACATTAACACAATGAATATACAAAAATAAGAATAAAACTACTAACCAAAATAGAGACATAATTTGCCTACTGATTGCATAATATTGAAGAATGTTACATCTTAATGAACATTCAATTTTCAGTCAAAGTATATCATTTCCACTCCAGATATTGTCTACGCTATGATATATTTTGCAGGTAATACACTCAGGGCAGCCAGAACTAATTCTTCCATTTGAGGCCACCCTCTCCTGACTCTGGGCTTCATACCATCATTACTCCATCAGCATCGATCGGCTGTCCAACACCCAAACAAAACAAGTGCAGTCATTTCTAAAAATGTCAACGTATTTATATCAGTGACTTCTGACTCGACCTTCACCTGTTCACTATGTTCCCACTTGACAAGTTTCAAAACTGTTTTCTCTCTGTCCACATACACTGGACTGAATGAGAAATGTGCATTTAGTATTAAAGCTGCACAGTTTAACTTTTGCTCTGCATCACATCATCTCCAAAAGGGGCACTGGGGGCTGAATTGATGGATATCGCTTAATTTTATGAATATTGCTGTGAAAAGCCTGGACAGGAGATGAAAAGGTATCCATTAAAGCCTTTTTCAGTGATACTTTTAATCGTACATTTCAGGGTAGACTCACTTTTTCAGCCCTCAAGCCACTGATACATAATCATTTATGGGCTGCCAAATACAATGTTGTTGTATTACTTGACCGGCACTACAGACCTTTATTTTTCAAAACGTGAATGTCAATTATCTCTTCTGCAATCTATATGATTTCCAAACAATGTTACAAGATTGATCCTGAATGACTTCCCAGGCAAAGCTATAACCAAGAAAATGTGGTATCAGAGACAAAAGAAAGAACAAATCTTTTCAATGCCCTTGTAGTGACATGTCAATTGATCCATCAATGTGCCTCTGAGTGTCTAAAGGATGAGCACACAATTTACCTGCTTCCTTGCATGTAAACATTTCTCCTATTACCTATACAACGTTAGCCTAGCCTTTGCCAGCTGCCCTTAATTATCATTTCCCTGCGTGTACCGTCTGGGTCTAGTCCGAGTGTCAGCAATTACATCAGTTGAACCCCATCCAACCAATCAGCGAGCGCAGGAGGCGGGTGTTATAGGTAGATGTGGGTGATGTCAAGAGTTTGCGCTTAACGGGCAGGTTGTAGTTTGGCAATGGCAAAGAATGCGATAGTTTAGTATTCTGTTCTGGTTTTATCAAGACATTGAAGCCGGAGCAAGAGTTTAGCAAATGTAATTGCTGGTAAAGATTGTGGCGCTATTCCCCCCACGGGCTCCGGTAGTGGCAAAGGAGATGGCTAGGCTAAATGCTAACGATTCACTCAGGCGCATTACATATTTCACGGTAAACTAGCATCCAATCGTTTCAATTTGCAAAAGGAGTTAACCCCTCCCACCTGTTAACAGAGCTCAATGGAGCACATCCAGACCTTAGTATGAAATGTAATTTGTACCAGGCTAATACAACGTAAACAATCTTTTATACATGTAGCTTTTCTTGAGTACAATAGTGAAATCTGTACTCTGCATTATAAGATGCATTGTTGAAATTGTATTATTATTATTTTACATTAATAAAGATCCCAGTCATTTCCATATCTTAAACCCACAATCTTGTATACGCCACTGTATTTGTCAGGTTTCCTATCAAGATCTTGCTACTCGGTCTGGCATTCAGTACAAATGGTGACTTTTCTGTCGGCTCCACACCGCGCTTCACTTCTCAAACAGCCTGCGGACTCCGAGCCATTATGACGCCCATAAACGCTGCGATCTTTACAATTAAAGGAACTCATTACCACTTCTACCAAATGCTTTCTACGTCCGTAAAGGGGCTTTTGAACTTCCCCAAATATAGCTTTTCCTCTGAGTCGTTCTTTATGCCGCTGCAATGCCATTATCCCTTTTGACTCTTCTTTGGACCCTTCCTTTACAAAAAACAGCTTCCTAATTAGAGAAATCCTTTCCTCTTCTCTCCTGGCTCTCTCGCCACAATCCCCTTTTGTGTTCCTGGTCTCTTGTTTGGTTGTTTACTCCCCTTGCCTGTTGTCCTCACCTTAACCGACCTTTCCAGCGAGAAACCATGGTCTTTTTATTCAGCACTGGCTTGTTTATCTTATTACACCGCTTTGTAAATTTCCAACTCAAAGCTGTGATCGATTCGACCGACTACGCGTATAGCGTCTGCCAGGCTATGCAAGCTACACAACTCTTGCATTAGCGTCTAATGGTTGTGATGGCTAATAGGGTTTTTGATCGTAAGCTAAGGCCAAAAAGAGGGATATTTTATGCTAGGTAGTATTTTTTTATATTATAAAGTCATATAGGAACAGTGCAATGCACTGTATGTAAATGGCAAATGCATTATTGCCATTCAAGTATGGCTAACCTTTCCGGTAAGAATGCTTTCAGTTGGGAGTAGGCCATGGCAAAATAACCTTTTACTTCCTTTAAGTGTAGAAGTTTCCTATAGATTTTTTTCCCTTTTCCCTGTACATCCAACATACTGAGAAGAGAAGATGTTCAAGCAATAGGCTTAGTCAGTCAAAGTGAAAAGTGGAAATGTGATATTTACGAGTTCATTACCGTTACATATAAATGACACTTCTGTAAAAATATAAACAATATATGTGTATATAATAATTATTTATAATAACATTCACCTCATTCCACATCTTTGGGCCAAATAGTGTCGACACATATTGACACCCAACAACACTTTTTTTCTTAGTTGATAAGAAGCTGACACAAAACAGCAGAGTCTATGTGTGGTAGACGCAGGACCATACCATTATTTACAATCTATAGACTCGGAGAGGCTGCATGCGCATGCGTCATTTTACTGATGTAATGGGAATGTTCACTTGCTGTGGCTAGCTTGACAGCTGCTTGCTTACAGCTGGTCAATCTGGTTGATAGCATTAATCTAATGGGTTGATAGGGAATATCCAAAGAATGGATCCTAATGTATCCATGCCGAATAACAAGATTGTACATACTATTTTAATTTGATGAGTTAGATTTGATGAGTTAAGGTGGCAGTCCCCCCTGGACTGCCACCTTAACGTGGTGGGGGAGTTTGAGTACTCGGATGATCCTGGGAGCTATGCTGTCTGGGGCTTCATGCCCCTGGTAGGGCCTCCCATGGCAGACAGGTCTCAGGTGACGAGTCAGACAAAGAGCAGTCCAGAAGACACCATGGACAGCACAGAAATGAAAACAGTGACGTCGCCCGGCATGGCGCAGCCGGGGCCCCACCCTGGAACCAGGCCTGGGGTCGGGGCCCGTATGCGAGCGCCTGGTGGCCGGGCCTTAGCCCACGGGGCCCGGCCGGGCTCAGCCCGAAGGGATGACGTGGGCAGTCCCTCCTGTGGGCCCACCACCTGCAGAGGGGTCCGTGGTGAAGCGGTGCTGAGAGGACTGGGCGGCAGTCGAAGGCGGAGACCTCTGCGACCCAGTCCGCACACACAACATCTGGCTCTTGGGACGTGGAACGTCACCTCACTGGGGGGGAAGGAGCCCGAGCTCGTGGGGGAGGTTGAGCGATGCCGACTAGAGATAGTCGGCCTCACCTCCACACACAGCTTGGGCTCTGGAACCCAACTCCTTGAGAGGGGTTGGACGCTCCACTTTTCTGGAGTTTCCCGCGGGGAGAGGCGGCGAGCTGGGGTGGCCATTCTCATTGCCCCCCATCTCAGCCGCCACGTGTTGGAGTTCTCCCCGGTGAATGAGAGGGTCGCGTCCCTCCGCCTCCGGGTGGGGGACAAGTCTCTCACTGTTGTGACGGCCTACGGGCCTAACGGCAGTGTAGAGTACCCGGCCTTCTTGGAGTCCTTGGGAGGGGTACTGGACGGTGCACCGCCCGGGGACTCCGTTATTCTCCTGGGGGACTTCAACGCCCATGTGGGAAACGCCAGTGACACTTGGAGAGGGGTGATCGGGAAGAGCGGTCCCGGCGGCAACCCCCGAACCCGGTGGTGGACACCGGCAGTAAGGGATGCTGTCAGGCTGAAGAAGGAGTCCTATCGAGCCATGATGGTTCAGGGGACTCCTGAGGCAGCTGTCCAGTACCGGCAGGCCAAGCGTGCCGCGGCCCGGGCTGTTGCAGAGGCAAAAACCCGGGACTGGGAGGAGTTCGGAGAGTCCATGGAGCATGACTATCGGTCGGCCTCGAAGAGATTCTGGCAAACCATCCGACGCCTCAGGAGGGGGAAGCAGTTCTTTGCCAACACCATGTATGGTGCGTGTGGAGAGCTGCTGACCTCGACTGGGGATATTGTCGGGCGGTGGAAGGAATACTTTGAGGTTCTCCTCAATCCCCCCGTCACGTCCTCCGTTACAGAGGCAGAGGCTGAGGATGTTGGGGCGGGTACATCCATCTCCCTGGCTGAGGTCACCAAGGTGGTTGGTAGCCTCCATGGTGGCAAGGCTCCGGGTGTGGATGAGATCCGCCCTGACTATCTAAAGTCTCTGGATGTTGTAGGACTGTCTTGGCTGACACGTCTCTGCAACATCGCGTGGCGATCGGGGGCAGTGCCAATGGAGTGGCAGACCGGGGTGGTGGTCCCTCTCTACAAGAAGGGGGACCGGAGGGTGTGTTCCAATTATCGTGGGATCACACTCCTCAGCCTCCCCGGTAAGGTCTACTCCAAGGTACTGGAGAGGAGGTTACGGCCGATGGTCGAATCGCGGATCCAGGAGGAGCAGTGTGGTTTTCGTCCCGGTCGCGGAACACTGGACCAGCTCTATACTCTCCATCGGATACTCGAGGGTTCATGGGAGTTCGCCCAACCTGTCCACATGTGCTTTGTGGATTTGGAGAAGGCGTTCGACTGTGTTCCCCGGGGTGTCCTTTGGGGGGTTCTCCGGGAGTACGGGGTCGGAGGTCCTCTCTGCTGAGGGCCATCCGATCCCTGTATGACCGGAGCCAGAGCTGTGTTCGCATTGCCGGCAGTAAGTCAGACCTGTTCCCGGTGAATGTTGGCCTCCGACAGGGCTGCCCTTTGTCACCGGTTCTGTTCACTGTATTTATGGACAGAATATCTAAGCGCAGCCAGGGGTCGGAGGGGGTCCGGTTCGGAGACCACAGGATTTCATCTCTGCTGTTTGCGGACGATGTTGTCCTGTTGGCTCCAACGAACCAGGACCTGCAGCATGCACTGGGGCGGTTTGCAGCCGAGTGTGAAGCGGCTGGGATGAGAATCAGCACCTCCAAATCCGAGGCCATGGTGCTCGACCGGAAAAAGGTGCCTTGCCCTCTGCAGGTGGGTGGAGAGGTCCTTCCTCAAGTGGAGGAGTTCAAGTATCTCGGGGTCTTGTTCACGAGTGAGGGAAGAATGGAGCGTGAGATTGACAGGCGGATCGGTGCAGCGTGCGCAGTTATGCGGTCGCTGTATCGGACCGTTGTGGTGAAGAGGGAGCTGAGCCGAAAGGCAAAGCTCTCGATTTACCGGTCAATCTTCGTTCCCTCCCTCACCTATGGTCATGAGCTTTGGGTAATGACCGAAAGAACGAGATCGCGGATACAAGCGGTCGAAATGAGCTTCCTCCGCAGAGTGGCTGGGCGCTCCCTTAGAGATAGGGTGAGGAGCTCAGTCACACGGGAGGAGCTCGGAGTAGAGCCGCTGCTTCTCCACGTCGAGAGGAACCAGTTGAGGTGGCTCGGGCATCTGTTCCGGATGCCTCCTGGACGCCTCCCTGGGGAGGTGTTCCGGGCACGTCCCCCCGGGAGGAGGCCCCGCGGAAGACCTAGGACACGCTGGAGGGACTATGTCTCTCAGCTGGCCTGGGAACGCCTTGGGGTCCCCCCGGATGAGCTGGAGGAAGTGTGTGTGGATAGGGAAGTCTGGGCGTCTCTGCTTAGACTGCTGCCCCCGCGACCCGGCAACGGATAAAGCGGAAGAAAATGGATGGATGGATGGAGTTAGTCCTTTGAACATTTCAGATAATTTAGTAAAGTAACGTCTGAAAAAAAAAAAAGGTTCCCGTACACTGCTGTCCTTGCAAAATTGTCCTTGTTTCAATTGTTTAAAAAAAAAATGTTTGCAAGGACAGCAGTGTGCGGGAACCATATTTTTTTTCATGAGCACCGGGACTCTTTCCCCCTTTTCTATGCACCTGCTCCAGCAATTGATGTGCAAAGTTGTCTTTCTTAGTAAAGTAACGTCTGAAACTTTTCTTCAAAAAGGTGGTACATATTTATAGCAACAAAGGACAGTATTATTGTGTTTCTGTGCATCAGGTGCAGCATTTTCATTTTCATTAATGCATTGATATTTTTTTTAAATGACAGTTAAATATATTCTGGCTTTTGGTCGATAGGTCAAGTTTCATTCTATTTGTTTTACAGATTGTTTTAATGAAATCTGTAAAGCTCTTTGTGATTTGTATAAATGAAAAGTGCTCTATACTATAAATACAGTTTCAAGTTTAGTAACTACAACATTATATTATATGATTACAGTATTCAATATGTATTAAATCTTTGAATAAGCGGCTAATGGCCGTGATCGCTAAAGGGTTTTTGAACATAAGCGCTTATGTTCTCAGCAAGAGGTTCCTGGGTTCGAATTTGGAACACGGTCTTTCTGTTTGCTGTGTCTTGCAAACATGGAGTTGGCATGTTCTCCCCGTGTATGCATAGGTATCCTCCAGGTGTTCCCCTACCACTAAAAACATGCACAATAGGTCAAATCCTCCAGCTCCGGTAGTCCTTACCAAGCCGAGCACCAACATCTGGCAATGGGCTCCCGGGCGCTGTACTACGGCGACCACTGCTCCTGACGAACACCTTAGCGCCTTCAGGATGGGTCAAAGGCAGAGGGTACAAAAAAAGTGCACATTTACACATGTACGTTTACTCTTTGCAGGACCCCCCTGATTGCAGCAGGTGTCATCGGTGGCCTCTTCCTGATGGTCATCGTGGCCCTCAGCGTGGCTGTGTATGTGCGTCGCAAGAGCATTAAGAAGAAGCGAGCGCTGCGCCGCTTCCTGGAAACAGAAGTAAGCTTTGTGCATATGTTGCCCTTCAATGTGTTATATTTTGTTTTTTCCAATAGAATTAGTTTATTATTTTGTGTGATGCCACTTTGCAGATTGGCATTAGATTGGTAATTCATGTTTTATTTCATTTCATGGAATGATTTCTTCTAATTCTAATTTTTATAACACAAAAATAAACAGCTCTGTTCATGTGATGTTATAAGGATTCATAATTGCCAAAACCAATAGGAGCATTTAGACAAATGTGTGATGAAACGTGTTTGTTCCAGTAGTTCCAAAAAGTTTAAAAACACAGTTTTGTTCAATATCTCAATACCTCAAATAGTGATTAGTCTTAAAACCTCCCCTGAGGGAGGGGGAGAGTTGTCACACAAATGTTATGTAAAACATGGTTACAACTGGAATATCTTCTCATTCACACCAGAATTTCCCACACATTTTTGCAATCATTGCCTACATATGGACACTTTTTGCAATTTGGAAATGTCCTTTGGATTGAAACACAACAAGAACACATCATATTTGTTTGCAATTGCTCCCTGATGGAAGTTTATAGCCGCATGCTACTTTTGCCAGCGTTGCCAAATGGTTGTTTCATTTTTCTGGCGTTTGTAGATTTGGATGGAGTGGTGATGTGTCTCCCTGGAGATCAGAGCTGTCAGCGCACAAAGGCCGTCTGTTTTTAATGTCGCCATCTTGCAGCAACATGACATGGGAGAGTGGCATTCAAAAGGAATTCTTAGACTCAAGCAAGGATGGATTGAGAGATGAGGACTCAACTTTGAACGTAAACTTGTCAAGCTGTAGAGTGACAGAGATGGTATAACAAGTGGGTTTGTCAAAGCAGAAAATATTTTGTAGTGTCTACATGGACTCAAAGAAGACTGGATAAACAGACTCAAAACAGATAGACTCTGTTGGCTGCAGTCACAAGCGTAACCTAAAGCCCAGTTAAAGTGGGCCTAGGCCCAGATCGGGATAAGATCCGGTCTTTAGGCTCTTCAAAAATGTCTGAAAATTGAATGGGAGAAGTATATTTTAATTCTAGTTTTAATGTGTTTTATGTAGCAGGAAAAACATTCTTAAAGCCTGTGTAATTTTTACAGCTGCTCCATATGCAAAAACATGTTAACTAATAACAAATGTGACCTTTTTTGGAATATTTACCCCCACCATGTTTTCTGAATTGTATTCATAGGGTTAGAAATTAACGTATAAGTGTCCGTGAGAGAGGAGTGCTCTCCACGTAAATGTGCCATCTTGAAAAACGGTGGTGGATAAGGGACAAAAAGGATGCGAGAATCGCGTTTTCATTTCACATGAGCTACTGATATTGTTGCTTTCAGTGTTTTCAAAGTTATATAAAAGAACCATGGAGGACCACAGTTATATAAAAGAACCATGGAGGACCACAGTTATGTAAAAGAACAATCCAAATAACAATCTTTTAGAAAAATAATTATGCAGAAGTCCATTGTCACAGCAGCAAACTGTCAACATCGCAAACCACACACACAAAGACAGCGTTAATACAACAGGAGGCACATTGTGAAGTTTGTACACAACAGACTCACACGTGAATAATTCTTAACTTTTTCACACTGACAATAATGAGAACGAGGCAGACTCTACAAAAGACTCTCAGGATGTTCTGACCCGATCCGAGCGCAGTCCAACTAAGTTGGTTTCAAATAATCGTATTCAGGGAAAAAGACTCAAATAAAGTAAATTACACACAGAATCCCCACAAAACAATCACAGAATACTTTATCAGCAGCGTGAGTGAATGTTCTGTTTCTTACCGTATGCAGATAGGGTGCTGTGGCTAATGCTAATGCTAACATGAGCTTTTAGCCGTGTTCTGCCGCAGCTGTGTATATCTCCTGCTTCTTTGATCATCGTTGTTTTAAGCTCCCGCAGACGTTATTCCTCCATGCGTCTCTTCTCTTCACACCGAGTTTGTAAAACTAAACTACTAAAACTATATTATAATAGATCCATCATGATAAAACTCAGTGCAGCCTCTGTGCAGTGGGTGCCGCGTCTGAATGTGGACTTGTTTACAAGTTGCCTCCACACGATTGTCAAGTGCCTGAGACATTTGGAGAAATCCGGTCATTTATCAAACTAAAGTATTCTTTCCTTGGCAGTCTGGTGAATGACTGAGAGTTGAGGAGCTCTGTCTTTGACAGTGCTCCTCAACTCAAAGGCAACCATACTTTAATAGACTGCAATATAAGATAAGATCTCAACACTAGATGGCACTAAATATTACACAGTGTACCTTTAACGTTTTTCAATGCTGTAAAAATGTGCATAAGAAATATTAAATTTCATTCTTTCTGTTAAGGCAGATTTGCGTCATAGCCTGCGACGCGAGTGCTACGTTGCTGCTGTTGTAAACAAACCGGCGTGTGCGGGGGTTCGACATGGGTCCACATAGATACCAAAGCTAAAATGAGACAGAGTCGATAAGAAACGAGAATTCAAGGAAACATTTGCTTTTATTGCCTTCGAAGGACTGCTTCATGCGTTCTTCTTAATGAGAAGTTTTGCTGCAACACGAGGTACAATGAAGCGTGGAACACTGTTCTCGGATGGTGATTACGTGAAGGATTCATTCATCAAAATATCAAAGCACCTTTTCTCAGACTTCAAAAACCTCTGAAAATACGTAATGAAAGGGCCATTCATTAAGCTCCAGCCAGTAAACTGATTGATATGAACAGACTGTGCTGGAATACAGGTATGTGAAAGTAGATATATTTATTGTATTTCTACAATCGTATTAAGTTAAAGCACCATATATTGTATAGCAGAGTAGTCACGTGCTGTGTCATTCTCTCTTTCATGCGCTGCAATGAAAATATCCATCCATCCATCCATTTTCTTCCGCTGGGCAGCAGTCTAAGCAGAGAAGCCCAGACTTCCCTATCCACACACACTTCCTCCAGCTCGTCCGGGGGGACCCCAAGAGCCAGACTGACCCCAGGCCAGCTGAGAGACATAGTCCCTCCATCGTGTTCTGGGTCTTCCCCGGGGCCTCCTCCCGGTGGGGCGTGCCCGGAACACCTCCCCAGGGAGGCGTCCAGGAGGCATCCGGAACAGATGCCTGAGCCGCCTCAACTGGTTCCTCTCAGCGTGGAGAAGCAGTGGCTCTACTCCGAGCTCCTCCCGTGTGACTGAGCTCCTCACCCTATCTCTAAGGGAGCGCCCAGCCACTCTGCGGAGGAAGCTCATTTCGACCGCTTGTATCAGCAATCTCGTTCTTTCGGTCATTACCCAAAGCTCATGACCATAGGTGAGGGAGGGAACAAAGATTGACCGGTAAATCGAGAGCTTTGCCTTTCGGCTCAGCTCCCTCTTTACCACAACGGTCCGATACAGCGACCGCATCACTGCGCATGCTGCAGCGATCCGTCTGTCAATCTCACGCTCCATCCGTCCCTCACTCGCGATCAAGACCCAGAGATACTTGAACTCCTCCACTTGAGGAAGGACTACTCCACCCACCCACTTTCTCCGGTCGAGCACCATGGCCTCGGACTTGGAGGTGCTGATTCTCATCCCAGCCGCTTCACACTCGGCTGCAAACCGTCCCAGTGCATGTTGCAGGTCCTGGTTTGTTGGAGCCAACAGACCCCTGGCTGCGCCTAGAAATTCTGTCCATAAACACAGTGAACAGAACCGGTGACAAAGGGCAGCCTTGGTGGAGGCCAACATGCACCGGGAACAGGTCTGACTTACTGCCGGCAATGCAAACACAGCTCTGGCTCCGGTCATACAGGGACCGGACGGCCCTCAGTGTAGAGGACCCCGTACTCCCAGAGAACGCCCCAAAGGACACCCGGGGGAACACAGTCGAACACCTTCTCCAAATCCACAAAGTACATGTGGACTACGGTTGAAAAAATAAACCCTTCTGACCGTGGGCTGTCTTCACAGCCCTGTGGTGACAATCCTGACCACTTGGCCTAGTGTGTTTGTGAAAACCTTTGTGATCATGTCCTCAACTTTTCCAGATGAGACTTGGTTCCATCAGAACTAGGAAGAGGCGGGATGTACTGTATGCAAAACAAGCATTACAGTAAAGGATTTGCATATTAATAGATAGTCCATGTTTTGGCTGAAATTGTCTTCTAACAGGTAAATCCGTGACGTCACAGCACTCCCGAGTCTTTTCTGTGGTCTTATTGCATGGTAGCGTTGCATTGCATGAACAGTGATAATGTCTTTTTTGGGATCATCCACAGGACGTCACGTCGGTGTGTCACTAGTTTTATACCTTTTTTGGTTAGAAATTAAGCCCAACAGTCAGTTGTAAGCCGGCTCTCCTCGCCTCAGAGAAACATGGCCGTCCTGATACACAATATCAGGGTGAAGGGTGTTGCCGGAAACACCCAGTAACCACAGCGACTCAGAGTGTTAGTCCCGCATCATTGGCCAGGGTTAGAGTTCAAGGCGCAGTGGCAGAGGGGCGAGTACCATCCCGCTGGGCTGCACCTCGCTGAGAAAAAGCAATTTGTTTTGGGGGTCAAAAGGAAGCAATGGAAGACTGTGGGGGTACTGTTATTTTTTATTTTTTGCAAGGTAAAAGAAGCAGAAAATACACCTTTAGAAGTAGAATAAGACAAACCTCTTCAAATACAGTGCCTTGCGAAAGTATTCGGCCCCCTTGAACCTTTCAACATTTCTCCACATTTCAGGCTTCAAACATAAAGATATAAAATGTAAATTTTTTGTCATGAATCAACAACAAGTGGGACACAATCGTGAAGTGGAACGACCGAGTATCAGACCACTGCAAATCTACCAAGACCCGGCCGTCCCTCCAAACTTTCATCTCAAACAAGGAGAAGACTGATCAGAGATGCAGCCAAGGGGCCGATGATCACTCTGGATGAACTGCAGATAACTACAGCTGAGGTGGGAGAGTCTGTCCATAGGACAACAATCAGTCGTGCACTGCACAAATCTGGCCTTTATGGAAGAGTGGCAAGAAGAAAGCCATTTCTCAAAGATATCCATAAAAAGTCTCGTTTTAAGTTTGCCACAAGCCACCTGGGAGACACACCAAACATGTGGAAGAAGGTTCTCTGGTCAGATGAAACCAAAATCGAACTTTTTGGCCACAATGCAAAACGATATGTTTGGCGTAAAAGCAACACAGCTCATCACCCTGAACACACCCCACTATCAAACATGGAGGTGGCAGCATCATGCTTTGGGCCTGCTTTTCTTCAGCAGGGACAGGGAAGATGGCTAAAATTGATGGGAAGATGGAGGAGCCAAATACAGGACCATTCTGGAAGAAAAACTGTTGGAGTCTGCAAAAGACCTGAGACTGGGACGGAGATTTATCTTCCAACAGGACAATGATCTAAAACATAAAGCCAAATCTACAATGGAATGGTTCACAAATAGACGTATCCAGGTGTTAGAATGGCCAAGTCAAAGTCCAGACCTGAATCCAATCGAGAATCTGTGGAAAGAGCTGAAGACTGCTGTTCACAAACGCTCTCCATCCAACCTCACTGAGCTCGAGCTGTTTTGCAAGGAAGAATAGGCAAGAATTCCAGTCTCTCGATGTGCAAAACTGATAGAGACATACCCCAAGAGACCTGCAGCTGTAATAGCAGCAAAAGGTGGCGCTACAAAGTATTAGCGCAAGGGGGCCGAATAATATTCCACGCCCCACTTCAGTTTTTTATTTGTTAAAAACGTTTAAATTATCCAATAAATTCCGTTCCACTTCACGATTGTGTCCCACTTGTTGTTGATTCTTGACAAAAAAAATATTTTTTATATCTTTATGTTTGAAGCCTGAAATGTGACGAAATGTTGAAAGGTTCAAGGGGGCCGAATACTTTACTTTACTTACACTGTATATTGGAGCATTATTTTAGGGCTGTCACAAGTTATTTGATAAATAAATATAAACTAATTGACATAGTTGTCAAATATTTAAGTAATTGATTAATCGTTTTTTGAGCCCTACATAGACTTAAAAAATTGAGAGGGCAGTTTTTTCCTAAAAATCCTCCTACAGTATATATCTTGATTTAACCAAGAACTTGTATGCCTCTCTGAATTCTCTAATGACTGCAGAATGAAATGAAAATGTGTAACAGGTCTTCTCTATGATGTTCTATACGGTCAAATGTAGAAAAAATACTATATTCACTGACCATTCCAGATCTAAGTGATTATCCAAAATAATAATTAATAAGTAATCAATTATTTTAAAAAAAATGTTTTATTACAGCCGTACATCATTTCAATATGTCGCGGAAAAAAATTTTGTTTACAAAGTACTTTTTGCCTGTAGGCTTGAAGAACTCCGCGCTCATGAGAAATCGTTTTAAAAATGCTTTTTTTGATTATTGTTTTTTTAAATTCATGAATTCATTCAGTTTATGGGGAGTGAGAGTTACATGCGTCTTCCTGAAAATGTGAGACAGGCCTACTCATACGACTTTTTATTAGTGCTTTTTAGATTTTTAACTGTATTCCACCAAGTGTAGAGTTCTGAAAATGTAATTTCTCAGAATATATACTGTATATGTAAATATAGATTTAATGGATTTAAACTTTGACGCAGAGTTGTTCAATCTAGCTAATGTTTATCCACAAACATATTCACGCATTGTAGAAAGGCTAGGTTGAGCCCCTCCCCTTAACGTCAAAGATGTCGCCTCGTACGGTCGACATGGCTCTTTGCTGCTCTCTTTTTCTTTTGTTTTTACTTTTTAACTGCGCATCTGGCTGTTCCTACACCCGTGAGGAACTTATGAACATCCGACCCACCGTTCCCATGGACCTATTGCCTGTTTTCTTGGCATCTGCGGCTGATTTAGTCCATGTTCTAGCCAAAAAAGTGTGGGCCCGTAAAAGGGGAAAGCGCGGAGGCCTGCTCGTGCGTCTTAGGAGGAGAGGAGCGCGCACGGCTCTCCCCGGCATTTTTCTCTCCAACGTACGCTCACTGGGCAATAAGATGGACGAACTCAGCCTGCTCATGAGAAGAAACAAGGACTTCGCCACATCCTGTGTCCTCTGCTTCACTGAGACCTGGCTAAATGAGCGGATCCCGGACTGCGCTCTGGAGCTGCAGGGCTTTGGGCTGTTCCGCGCGGAACGCCATTGTGCGCTCTCAGGGAAGAGCAGAGGCGGAGGGCTGTGTTTCTACGTCAATACAAACTGGTGTAACGATGTGACAGTGATCTCCAAGCACTGCTCTCCTGCTCTGGAATATCTTTTCATTCATTGTAAACCATTTTACTCCCCTCGTGAAATTGTTTCATTCATTCTTGCCTCTGTTTACATACCGCCATGCGCGGACGCGCGCGAGGCTCAGCGCGCACTCGCAGAGCAAGTACTGTGTATGGAACGTTTATACCCGGACTCTCTGATTATTATCCTGGGGGATTTTAATAAGGGAAACTTGAGCCAGGAATTACCCAAATACAGACAGTTTATCAAATGCCCGACCAGAGAGGAGAACACTCTGGATCATTGTTACACCACCGTGCGCGGAGCTTTTCACGCTGTTGCCAAGCCATCCCTCGGCGTCTCAGATCACTCCATGATACATCTGGTTCCTGCTTACAGACAGAGACTAAAGCTCTCGAAACCTGCAGTGAGGAGCTCCAAAGTGTGGTCTGATGAAGCTGTGGAAGAGCTGCGCGCATGCATGGAATCTACAGACTGGGACCTTTTCAGAGCTGCCACAGATAGTTTGGATGAATATACGGACACTGTGACGTCATACATTAACTTCTGTGAGGATAGCATCATTCCAACAAGGACCAGGGTCATCTATAACAACGACAAACCCTGGTTCACTGCAAAACTCCGGCAGCTCAGGAAAGCAAAGGAGTCTGCTTTCAGGGAGGGGGACCGCAGCGGCTACAAAGCAGCTAAATATCCGTTCAGGAAAGAACTGAAAGCAGCCAAGTCCCGGCACAGAGAACGACTACAGGAGCAGTTTGGTAACAACGATACTGCTTCTGTCTGGAGGGGCCTACGGGAGATCACCAACTACAAACCCAAAGCCCCCCCTGTGCTGACGACCACAAGCTAGCTGACGAACTTATTTTTCAGTCGTTTTGATGCTGCCCCTGACACCTCTCCTTCCCCCACCCCTCACTACTCTAACGACCCACCCATCAGCCCTGCCCCCAGCCTAACAATAGCCTCTAAAGAGACTAAACAACTCTTCTTGAGGCTGCACCCCCGCAAAGCTCCTGGCCCGGACCACGTGTCTCCGGCCACTCTGAGATACTGCGCCAGTGAGCTTACTCCTGTGTTCACGGACATTTTCAACACCTCTCTGCAGTCCTGCCATGTCCCGGACCTTCAAATCCTTCAAATCCTCCATCATTGTCCCCGTCCCGAAGAAGGCCAGGATCACAGGACTCAACGACTACAGACCTGTAGCACTTACGTCTGTCGTCATGAAGTCATTTGAACGCCTGGTTCTCTCCCATCTCAAGTCCTTCACCTCCCCCCTCCTGGACCCCCTGCAGTTCGCCTACAGAGCCAACAGATCTGTAGACGACGCCATTAACCCTCTATGCACATGGGTCATTTTGGGGAACTTTCCTCGCCTGGTTTTCTTTGTGTATAATTGTTCATAAAACAGTCATCTTTTGATGCAGAGTCAAGCAGTATACTTTGTTTTTTTCAGTACAACCTGGGGTTTTAGAATATTAATATTGTAAAGCTGTCATATGAATTATATAACAATTATGGAATCATGAAGACAAAGAAAAAAATCTAACGGAAAATCAATTTAACAAAAATGTATTGAAAAAACACAATGAAATGCTATAAACAACTTTTTACACTGCACAGAAATGTTATTTAGGGACTTGGGGATAATGGGGGAAAAAATTGAATCTCTAACTATTATACTTTTTACAAAATTCCACTATAAAAGCAAAAAACTCTGTACTCCTGATGCCCTTCCTGAAGCAGTTTGTCTATAATGCTGGGGTTGCTTCTGTAGCACAGCTGTAAAAAACGTAAAACATAAGAAACTGAGCCAAAAAAAAAAAAAAACATCAATTATTTATATGATATATACATCATATACACATAATGTCATTTTACTGTATTTATTATCGTCTTTATCAATAATGCGCACTCTTCAGCCGGTTATTGCAATCGCAGCTGTAGTTTCAACTGTGGGAGAACAAGTAAACGCAGAGGAGTGAGCCATCTCACTCTCTGACGATCTTTGGCAGTCCCCGTGTGTTTGTATCTCACAGCTGTTTGT